TCTACATGCACTCCAGAGATGGTCAGATAGCTTTTCTTAGGGCGAGTGTAAAAGTGGACCATGCCTGTGTTTGTATTTAAAAGGCCCCTTGTAGTCTCCATCGCAAGCCAGTGTGACAGGGTGACAACACAGAAGCTTAACTTGGAGACAGGGTTCAGAACATTGTCACCCTATAACAGGAGGAGCCTGAACATGAACCTTCATGGCAGGATCACGAAGTATTATTTTAAAGGGAAAGTCCACTTTTTGAGAAAATATAATAAATGCACACCTCTTCACAAAATTAAAAAATGGGCATTTCTTTTTTGCATTGGAGCCAGTAAAGCATTGCAGCCCTGATCAAAAAATTGTGGGTGTGATGCTCTGGCTCCTGCAAACTCTTCCTCCCGCCCCTGTTGCTGATGTCTGTACCGCCACATATGTCCACACCAAATTCAAAATACAGCAGCAGCCTGCAGGGAGAAGAATCCTGTGATTCAGATAAGTAGGTGGTCTAGATGTGACCATGTTTCATGTTACACCCTGAATATGGTCTAAAAGGTGAACATAGCATTCAAGCTATGGATTAAAGGGTTGCTCTACATTTATTTTTTAAATGCAACCAGTTTAAGTATCTCAATCTGTATTTATGATTAGCTTCCCTATGCAGGATTACTGAGGTGTAGCACAAAGAGCCAGACAGACTATACTGCATTGCTCTGTGCTAACCACTGTAACACTGGAAGTCTGCTGACAGGAGAACAGAGCAAAGTGAACAGTTTGACAGCCTCATCAGTGTACATTTGCTCCTTCAGTGCCCAGTTATCACACTATGATCAGGTCAGTGACCTAGCTGTGCTGCTTAGCTGAAGTAAGAAATCATGAGGTCACTGTCCTGGACATAACCTATATCACAAGAGTGACTGAACAAAATTGCAAATTCCTTGACAGGTAAGGCAGCTAAGTATACACATCTATTAACTGTTTATTTAGCTTTATGACTGGAGTTCAGCTTTATTTTTTCGTTTTCCCCAGGAGGGTTAATAGAGAGTCACGGGGAATTTAATTTATTATTTCTGTTACCCTTCTTGACCCCTAGTTATAAGATAACGATCATGAACCAATCAACATAGCTCAAGACCCACGAGAGCCAATCATGTAGTTTACGTTTGCTTTATCAAAGTGATAAGACGTCTACATTTTGAAAGGTGCTGACAGGCAGGCTGCCCAGATCAATGCACAGTCTCGGCTGAGATTAAATAACTTCATAACACCTGTAGCCAAAGATTCAGAACCCAGAAGAGGACCGAGAGAAAATGGAAGCACCAGTGACTAGGGAGCAGAGCTGGAGGGGAGCAGAGCTGTAGGTAAGTCAGCCATAATGTGTGAATATGCTGCATATCGGTGACTGAAGGGAGCAGAGCTGGAGAGGATCACTTCTGTAGGGAAGTCAGCCATAATGTGTGAATATGCTGTGCATACTGGTGACTCAAGGGAGCAGAGCTGGAGGGGATCACTTCTGTAGGGAAGTCAGCCATAATGTGTGAATATGCTGTGCATACTGGTGACTCAAGGGAGCAGAGCTGGAGGGGATCACTTCTGTAGGGAAGTCAGCCAAAATGTGTGAATATGCTGTGCATACTGGTGACTGAAGGGAGCATAGCTGGAGGCGGCCTCTTCTGTAGGTATGTCAGCCATAATGTGTGAGTATGCTGTGAATACCGATGACGGAGGAGAGCAGAGCTGGAAGGGACCTCTTCTGTAGGTAAGTCATCCACAATGTGTGAATATGCTGTGAATAAGGATGACGGGGGGAGCAGAGCTGGAGGGGGCCTCTTCTGTAGGTAACTCAGCCATAATGTGTGAATATGCTGTGTATACTGGTGACCGAAGGGAGCAGAGCTGGAGGGGGCCTCTTCTGTAGGTAAGTCAGCCATAATGTGTGAATATGCTGTTAATACTGGTGACTGAAGGGAGCAGAGCTGGAGGGGATCACTTCTTTAGGTAAGTCAGCCATAATATGTGAATATGCTGTGCATACTAGCACATTATGGCAAACAGCTCCCAGGGCCCACTTAAAGAAAACCTGTTGCTGATTAGCATACAGGGCAAAGCAACAGGTTCACTTTAAAGGCCCATCACAAGGGTGAGCAAACTCTGGCCCTCCAGCTGTGGTGAAAGTACAAATGATGCATTTGTCTATGGGAGTCATGCCTGTGGCTCTGAGAATCATGCAATTCTTCATAGGATTTGTTCCACAACAACCAGGGGGCCGGAGTTTGCCCACCATTTAAAAACAAGAAGAGAGAAGCTAATTGGTTGCCATAAGCAAATTCTCCAGATACTGTCTACTCCAGTTTTAATAAATTCCCCTCAGACTATTTTCTTTGCTTCCAGCAGCTCAACAGAGAAGCAGGGGAGAGAGAGAAAAGGTGCCCTGCATGGGCAAAGCACATGTTTAAAAATGTACATATCCAGTATACATACGTAAAGAATCACAAAGCAAAATCATACATGTTTCTAGTGACTCTGGGTGAAGTAGAAGGGAACCTTTGTGTTCTGCATAACATTACAGGACATGCCTGAAGCTTTCACCTCACCTAGGCCTAATACTCCTACACCCACATTGTGCTGGAGAAGTAAAGTTGACATTTTCCTTTGCCCTTGTGGGGGAGACACCATGTGTTCTCTGGAAATCGTGTCGTATCCAGGGTTGGCACACGCCCTGAAGGGTTGTAATCATCCCACCCATGGAAGATAGATAAAACAGAGCACATTGTATCAACAAGAGTGAAAACATGGGAAGAAAGACGCAGCAGCAAAAAGCGGGCCTAGAACCAGAAGACTAAACAGTGATCAGCCTTCTCTTTATAATAACTTTGTATTGGCATGAAATCTGTTTTCAGTAACCTAACCTGGAAATCGCAGAGGAAACAACCTCTCTAATACCATACAAGTACAGGGGATTGTACGTTCATTCTGCAACCTTAAAGCACAACTGAAGCCAAAACTTTCTTTTTTTTAGTTTTGGATAGAGTAGAGAGGGATTAGAACTAGGGATGCACCAATGCCGGCTTTTCGGTACAGAGTAAGAGTACCGATATTTTTTTTCGTTACTCGCTGATACCGAACACCGAAGTCCCATTAAGGAAGCCAGGCGGTGTGTAATGACTCGCCACCTGGCTTCCTGATTAGCCAGGAAGTAGGGTTGCCACCTTTTGTGCAAGCGAAACCCAAACACTCTAGCGACATGCAGCATTTTTTCGTGAGAATGAGTCGTAGCTCATTCATATGTAACTATCACAGCTGAGACTATTTTCAGTGGGGGGCCAGTAGCCCCTATCTTCATTTTGGTTGCCCCTGTCTGCCTGATATCTTGTGTCCGGGTGTCTGCCGCCATGAAACCCAGACACAGCGTTCAAAACCCGAACTGTCCGGGTGAATCCTGGACAGGTGGCAACCCTACCGGGAAGCCGTGCCGTGTAGAGGCTCGCCACCCAGATTCCCGATAATCAGGGAAGCCGTCTCCATGCTCCCTCATCATCAGGTAATGGCAATGGTAATAAGATAATCTAGTGGACAATCTAATCAAAATCAAAATATAAATGTCCAAAAACAACACAAAAATCTCTGTAGGCAGTTCGAGACATATCATGCACCCTTTTTGGCAAAATAGATGTATACTTACAAGTCATATATTGATTTAATAAACAGTATTCATAGAGGGTAACTATATAGTATATATACTAGGGATGCATCTATACCGATGCTAGTATCGGTGCCGATACTGAGTATTTGGACAAGTACTCGTGCTCGCCTAAATGCTCCGATACTTACCTCTGATACCGGAGCTTCCAGTCAGAGGGAGATCTCCCTCTGATCGGCAGTGCAAGGGAGCATGGAGCCAGCTTCCTTTCTGATCAGGAAGCCGGGCAGTGGGTTATGAACCACCTCCTGGCTTCCTAACCAATCAGGAAGCTGGGCGGCACATACTGACATGAAGCCATGCTGCCTATCAACAAGTAAAGCCAGTCTCCTAGCCAATCAGGAAGCCGGGGAGCCGGGTCATGATGTGCCACCCGGCTTCCTCTTTAGCTAGGAAGCCGGCTTAATTTGTTGCTAGGCAGCCTGGCTTCCTGACCAATCAGGAAGCCAGGCAGCCTCAAGTGAAGCCAGTGTTCTATTGCTAGAACACAGGCAAGTTAGTGATACGTAAGGAGACTGCATAATTAACCACCTCCGGGCCGGCCGTAGTAAAAAAACTGTCGGCCCGTTGCTCTCTAGATCTGAGTTGCCCGGTGCGAGCCCGGGATCAGCATGGTGCCTGTGTCACAGGGGATCAGAGGGAGAACGTTACCCCTCTCCTCTGAAAGAATGCGGAAGTGTTGTATAATACATCACTTCCGCATTCTTGTGTCACTCTCCAGCTTCAGAAGCTGCAAAGAAGCTGATGGAGCAGATCATGACGGAATAAACGTCAGTCAAAGTACCGCAGCGCTGAATACTGAAAAATGGCCTGGCCAGGAAGGGGGTTTAAACACCTGGTCTTGAAGTGGTTAAGTAGCCATTACTTTGCATCACATGCAGAAGACTAGGAACTCATGTCAGAATCACATATATCTTGCGAGTGTTACTCAATTATATATTGTATATTAGGATCATTTTATTCATGTTAGGTTGATGAAATCTTCTTCTTGGTCCAATTTTTCCCAGATGTCTTCTTATAGGAGCTCCCTTCCAGCAGATCTTGGCTGAATGTTGTTAATACTCTGTCCACATTTTTCAGTATTTTTATGCTAACTTATATTTTGCTTGATATCCATGACCCTGAACTTTGGACCTACCAGTAGAAACATATTGATAATAACTTTTTTGCATGCAAAGCTACCTTATTTCAGTGCTATGTTCAGGTCTATGCTTTGATCCACTGAAGAAGGCTGTACTAGATATAGTTCTTGTCTATTAGTTGCTGGCGCTTTGTTAGGTACAAACATCTAAGTTCTATATATTCTTTGTTTCAGGACATGATATTAATGGAGCTTTGGAACCATCAATTGACACCAGTATCCTAGAGGATTACATTAGCAAGGAGGACTCTCCTGATATGTGAGTAACAAAATACTTTATACAGCATAACTCTTTACATGACTCTGCAGTAAATATTCATTCATGGTACCTTTTATATGCACACTGTGTATTTGGATACATTGTGCTTAGGAGTTAGTAAGCAGACCACATCAACCATTTAGGTGCCTACATTGTGTATCTCCTAGGGGCCTCATTTTTTAAAAGTGGAACTGTAACAGGTTGTCAGGGCTCCTCAGTATGGCAGACTTACCTCCCCAAATGCTCCCTCTGGTGATGAGAGGTCCACTTTCCCCCTCTATACTCTTCTGGATCTAGAGTCTTCTGTCTCCAGCCAACCTTCTCCATTGGTTGGTCATGAATGGCATGACTCCTGCACATGTTAATAGGAGTTAATTCCTCCTGATGCCCAACTTCTACTGAGATGCGGAGATTGTACTATAAACTGTGCATACACCGCATGCAATGTACAATTGATTAAAAAAAAGTTGATAGCAGTCAGGGAAAGAGTTTTTTTGGCAGTAGAAGTATACAGAGTCTCTTCTGCCACAAAACTCTACCATATACCATTTTTTTTTAAACTTGACTTGAGTTCAGACCGATTCATTTTGAAGCCCAATTACAGCTTCCATTCAAAGTACATAAATCAACCAGACAGTAACTATGAGGAACTTACATATGTTCTATAGGTGCTAGAGCTGCTTAGGTGGAAATCAGCCTGTCCCCTGGCATTCAGCTGCAGAGAGGACTTCTGCACTCTATGAGAAAAGCAGTGATCTCTCTGCAGCAATCCGTGTTAAAGGAGAACTATGGGTCAGGGCTTTTCCCCATAGTTCTCCTTAGGGTAACGGGAGGACACAAACTAGTGTCCTCCCGTTACCCTAAGCTCAGTATACCGCGAGCTAAAGTATACCGCGAGCTAAAGCTCGCGGTATACTGAGACGCCGCAGCCAGAGCGGATCCCGACATCGATGTCGAGATCCGCCCAGCTGCGTGAGTGACAGCTGGCTCTGCCTATCTAGAGGCAGAGCCAGCTGTACCCGCCCCCTCCCCTGTTCAGTTCCACCAGTCAGCGCTGGCGGTTTGGAGCGGGGAGGGGGGAATCCAGCCCCTCCCCTGTCACGGCAGAGAGCCCTGACAGGATCGAGAGGTGAGCGAACGCCGGTATATGTTCGCTCACCTCCCGATCTACTGAGCCGACCTGTGACAGTCTCATTGTCACAGGTCGGCTAGAACTATGAGGTGAGTGAGAAGCACTCACCTCATAGTTCTCCTTTAAGTCAAAGCTAGAGCTAGGTGATTAGCAAGGAGCTTGAACTTTGGGGCTCAATCAAATGAGGTGGGTTGCTCTGCACAGCGTGATGGGCTGGTTGTTGATGTGCCCGAAGCTGCGGAAAGAAGTGTGTGGGCAGCTCATTTAACTCTATGGAGACGTAGTAGCTGTGCACTAGGGATGCACCGGTGCCGGTTTTTCTGTATCGAGTAGCGTTATTTATCTTTCGGTAATCACCGATACCGTATGGCGATACCGATACATCCGGGAGAACGGAGCCGGCTTCCCGGCCAATCAGGAAGTAGGGTGGGAGGTCATTACCAGCCTCCCGGCTTCCTGATTGGCTGGGAAACCGACTCCATGTTCCCTCGCAGCACTGCCGGTCATAGGAAATCTCCATCTGACCCGAAGTTCCGGGGTAGGTATCGGAGCATCAGTATCGGTGCATCCCTACTGTGCACCCTCACAAGCAGCTTTCTGGAGCTCAGAGTTTTGACAGCTGCACAGAGACGGTGCACGGCCTTGGCCACAGACATGACAGATTCAGGCCCGTGCACTGTCTGCGTGTGCGGCTGTCAAAACTCGGACCTGTGGGAAGCAGCATGTGAGGGTGAGCAGCTCCTCCATCTCTATAGAGTTAAATGAGCTGCCAGCACGCTTTTTCCTTCAGCTCCAGGCACATTGTATGTACATTTCCTGCAGAATGTTTGACCCAGTCAATGTTGTATTTGGATGTTCACCAAATGCTGATCACCCTTAGCCTGGGTTCACACCTAGGCGTATTGAATATGCGCGTTTGACGCGCGTTTCGTGGCGCACGTTTTTACAGCGATTCACGGTAAAAAACGCGCGACAAACGCGCGTTTCCGAGGGCTACTTGGCTGTATCCCAATGGAAACGCGCAACAAAAACGCTACAAAGAAGCTCATGTACCTTTTCAGGCGTAGGCCGTTTTGTGGCGCGTTCAGACGTGCTGAAATACGGCAAGGTGTGAACCATACTCATAGAAAACATAGTGGTGCCCAGGGCATGTGTCATGCTTGCAATACCCTGGATGTACCACTGGGGAAATGTCACCAGAACAGGAAAAAAGGGGAATGATTATTAAAGGAGTACTATGAGGTGAGTGCTTTCACTCACCTCATAGCTCTAGCCGACCTGTGACAATGAGACTGTCACAGGTCGGCTCAGTAGATCGGGAGGTGAACGAACACATACCGGTGTTCGCTCACTTCTCGATCCTGTCACGGCTCTCTGCCGTGACAGGGGAGGGGTCAGGATTGCCCTCTCCCAGCTCCGATCCTCCATCGCTGACTGGTGGAACGGACGGGGGAGGGGGCGGGTACAGCTGGCTTTGCCTCTAGATAGGCAGAGCCAGCTGTCACTCACGCAGCAGGGCGGATCTCGACATCGATGTCGGGATCCGCTCCGGCGTCTCAGTATACCGCGAGCTATAGCTCGCGGTATACTGAGCTTAGGGTGACGGGAGGACGCTAGTTTGTGTCCTCCCGTTACCCTAAGGAGAACTATGGGGAAAAGCCCTGACCCCATAGTTCTCTATTAACCCTTGTAGTGGGGCTACTCCCGCACGGCAAGGGTTAAGTACTCATTTTGATCTAGAGAGAAAAATAACAAAGTTATACTGTTAGACTGGTCCCTGGAGCCGGTCTGCCCCTCTGATGCAGTGGTCTAAGCTCCGGTGAGTCATCATGCCCAATAGACAGGGTATTGGACCTGAGGATGCTGAGAGACATTCCATCGCTGCAGCGGAGGAGTAGACAAGTTTCAGGGTCCGGTCTAACAGCAAGCCGATTCTAAGGATTGAGTATATCTTTGTTATTTTTCTCTCTAGACCAAAACAAGCACTTTACCCTTGCAGTGCGCGGGGTAGCCCCACTGCAAGGGTTAATAATAATTTTCCCTTGAGCTCTCCTTTAAATGGAACAAAATTAAAGTTCTAAAACCTACTAAAAAATGTAAATGTCACAGTCACTGCTACAAATGTTTTCCTGCTTGCCTTATATACCCGAATACAAAGTCACATAATGTATACACTGAGGTTATCGTAATGCACTTTATATGTACAATGTACAACAAAAAACTTGGCCCATGGAATTTGGCTTTGGTTGTTTATTCAATCTCCTATCTTGTATACACGATGACCTATAACCTAGCTTGCAATGCTGAACACTAAAGGAATTAAGCTGCCATTAGCTTACAGTATGGGGTAGGCAAATTCCAGCCCTCCAGCTGTGGTAAAACTACAAATCCCATGATGCATCTACCTCTGGGAGTCATACATGTGCCCGTCAAAGTCTTGCAATTCCTCATGGGCCTTGTAGTTCCACATCAGCTGGAGGGCCGGAGTTTGCTTATCAATGGCTTAACTTTCAGCTTGACAAAAACACATCCAATCATTTGCTGTTTCTAATTGCACATAACTGGTCGTTGTACTTGGCAAACGTTTGCTTTGTTCTTTTGTGTTTGAATAAAAATATTTAAAACCCAGTAGATATATTTTGCTACATTTGAGATATCTGGAAGCTGTCTGTCGTTCCCCAGATCTCCAGTAAACCTTTTCAGGACTGTTTTCCATTAGAAAAATGTAAACAGATGCAGAGAACACGTGCTGGTGATTGGTGTTATCTGTTCTGCTCTTAGAAGGCGCCCTCTAGTGGTCAAATAGAACATTGATACTTCTGTCTGGCCAGGAAGGACTTATATACCTGTTTTGCACTCCTCTTCTGCTATTCTATATCAGGGTTATTCACATAAGGATGAAGAGTTTGGAGAAGGCAGGAGAAGTGAACAATCCAGGACAACATAGCTGAACAGGAAAGTGAGGTGAATTGGAGAATTTTTCCAGACAGCTATGTTGTTCTAGATTGTCCACTTCTCCTGCCTTCTCCAAACTTTTCACCCTTTTGTGAATAACCCTGTTAGTGTAGCTGTTATCTCTGTGTGTACAGAGATGTAACTTGGCAGTGGCAAGAGAGTTACACCTCCAAAGGTAAGTATAGGTACCCCCATCCTATATTTATATAATTCTGTGCCAGTATAGGTCATAGAATGTATTGGCTTGCATTAAATACATATGTGTACTTAGATTTATTTTCATCAACTAGCCTTGCTTAAGTTTTAAGCTGGCCATACACGTTTTAAATTCCTCTTATTTACCCCTTTTGGGCAGAACAATAGAAATCCATCCACCTGGAGGTGGGTGCTGCAGCATTCGGTGATTTTACGCCTTTAATAAACTCACATGTACATTTTAAAGTGACACTAAACTCAGGAGTTAAACCTTAAAAACACATTAAAGTACCCCAACTACAGCTATAACTAATATTATACAACTGTGTGTGATATTAAAGTACTTTTAAAGCCACTCTCACAAAAGCAAAGAACAGTTCTCCGAGTTGTTTTCTACAGTTCTAGTAACATAAAAAAAGAAGCATGAACATACCTTGATTTCAGTCTTTTATTCCATGGTCACGTGGCCATGCAACCTCCCTTCCCAATGCTTCTTCCGAGTGCAGGGGGGGCATCTCTAGTGCCAGAGGGTGAACTACCTAATAACGTCAGGCACAGCTGGGAAGTACCTCCAGTATGTGCGCTTTGCAGTTTTGTCAGTCATAAAAGCTGGGGAAGGTTTAAGGGGGGCTGACACCTGAATTGACTATGGGTGGATACAGGTACGGTGTCCTGCATTTTTTAGCAGGAATCCCAGGGACATCAACATAGCAGGGTTTGGGAGGGGTATGGCAGCAAACTAAAGTGATACTAAACGCAGGAGTTAAATCTTAAAAATGCATTCAAGTACCCCAACTATTAACAAAAATGTATCTTATTTGTGTATCACTCAGCTGTAGATCCTCTAATCATCTCTGAATTGGTGCTGACACTGTCCTTCCTTCTGGAGGGGGGCTACTTTTGTTCCCCATGGTCCCTGTGTGTGTTGTAAAGTAGTCACCGCTCCAAGCTCACTCCTGTGATGGACTACAATCTCATGTTTAGTTTACTCATTTGTATTGCGATTGTAGTCCATCATCGGAGTGAGCTTGGAGCGGTGACTACTTTACAGCATACCATGGGGAACAAAAGTAGCCAACCTCCAGCAGGAAGGACAGTGTCAGCACCAATTCAGAGATGATTAGAGGATCTACAGCTGAGTGATACACAAATAAGATACATTTTTGTTAATAGTTAAGGTACTGGAATGCATTTTTAAGATTAGTGTCACTTTAAAATAGAACTCTGGACTCGCACTTCAAGGGTTAAGTGCTTGCTTTGTCGAGGGGGCTTCCAGGAAACAATTTTAGCTTCTAAACTCACCAAAACACATGTAAATGCATGTATACTCAAGATGTGTCTATTTGCTGAAATGCCATTGGCTACTTCAATTGACAAAGGACAAATGCATCTAAAGCATATGCGTGTAAACGCACGTAATTTTAAGCATCTACAAGGATAAAAAAGCGTCTAGCCTGACAGATTCTGCAGACAGATCTCTGCATAAAAACGCAAGTGGACAGTGTGAATCAGGGGCGTAACTAGAAGTCACAGGGCCCATAGAAAAATGTTGTATGGGGCACCGTGATTGCTAGTTATGACACTTGCAGAGCCCACCTGATATACCAAACAGCCCACCTGAGAGTGACCCTGCAGAGCCCATCATAGACACTGTATAGTGGGCTCTGCAGGGTCCCAGATGGGCTGCACACCTCTTACCTGTCAGCGCTGTCCGCCTTCGTGGTCGCTGTGTCAGTGACAGCCAGCACCCTTATATGCCGTAGCGACCCAGGCGACCCACACGGCATCAGAGGGATGCGCTGGCCTGGAGCCCCTGTGCCGGGGCCCCATAGCCGCCACCTGGGTTGCTATGGCGATTGTTACGCCAATGGTGTGAATGAGGCCTTAAAATAGGGTTGCCACTTGTCCAGGATTCACCCGGACAGTTCGGGTTTTGAATGCTGTGTCCAGGTTTCATGGCAGCAGAAACCCGGACACAAGATGTCAGGCAGACAGGGGCAACCAAAATTACGATAGGGGCTACTGGCCCCCCAAAGAAAATAGTCTCAACTGTGATATTAACATATAAATGGGCAGCGCTATTTACCTATGAATAAGCCACCACTCGTTGGCTCCCCAAAAAATGTCTGCACGTCGCCTAAGTGTTCGGGTTTCACTTGAAGAAAAGGTGGCAACCCTACCTTAAAAACAATGTGAAATAATATTACTGTGGCTGGAAATAGTATTGTTATACTATTACTATACTGGGGGTGGCACTGTGCTATGTACAGAAATAGCTTACATTGAGATGTATATATATTTGTATAAATACCAGCTGTGACTTTTTTCTTTTATTGTTTTTACAACAGCTGTTTTGCGGATATCCCTTCCTCATCCGGCTATGCAAACCCAGGTCAGCCGTGTACTTCTGCTGCAGGCCACTTGCCAGCTGTCATTTCCGTCGGTCATGCTGGACCATCCGGCTCAGGTGGTGTCCTTCACATGGGACAACAGATGCCAGTACGGCCCGGGATGGGTGGCACATGTGCAGGCCCACCTTACCAGTCACATGTTAATTGCAGTAACGGCAACGCCATGCTCAATCCCAAAGGATACCCGGGCCCTGCCATGTGCATGAGTGGACCTGGTCTTCCCATCAAGGCAGAACCTAAAACCAGCTATGCAGCCGGGTAAGTTACAGTACATAGTTACATAGTATTTGAGGCTGAATAAAGACACAGGTCCATCAAGTTCAACCTTTGTGTGTCTGTGTGTGTTTGTGCGTGCATGTGTGTATATGAGTCCCTGTGTGGTCTTACTTTTTAAGAGTACCTGTACCCCTGTATGTTACAGTCTCTTAGGATGGCAGTTGTCAGTAAGAAAGTGTGGGGGAAACTGCTGGAGCTTGGTAATATGCTGCTCTGGCATCCATCTCTGTAACTGGGGGTGGGAAGAGACCCTGTAAGCGCCAAGTCATGACTTACATAAGGCTTCCTCTTTTTGCTCCCAGTGGCTAAACAGACCCTGGAGGGCGGAAACTACGTGTACAGTACAAAGCACGGATTCACTTTAAAGAACACCTCCCGGAATATAAAAAAAAATTACCCCTGCAGTGGGGCTACCTTCACACTGCAAGGGTTAAGTACTCGTTTTGTCTAGGGGGCTCAAATAAAGAAGATACACTCACCTGACCCTCGGTCCTGCGGCGGTCGGCACTCACCTCTTTCCCCCTCCACTCCGGCTGTGGTGTGTCCCTCTGCGTTTTCATGTCTAATGCAAGTCAATGGACCTGCGGTAGACTTGATGACGTCAATGTGGCTTAGACCGCTGGGGCCCGGGGAAGAAAAAGCTGTGGGGACCGGTCTAGCAGCCTGCCAGGACTGATCAGGTGAGTATATCTGCTTTATTTTAGCCCCCTAAAACTGAGCACTTAATCCTTGCAGTGCAGGCGTAGCCCCACTACAGGGGTGCATTTTATAAATCCATGGAGTTCTTCTTTAAGATTTTTTCCATGAGATGCCAGCTTTTGCTTATCTTATAGCTTTTGTCAGGAAGTTGTGATTCAACAGAATGCTACGTGCTTAAATCCACATTTTACATACTGCCAGTTAAAGGGCAATTCCAACCAGAACTGTATATTAAAGTTTCATGTAGAGGGGATGAAGAGTTAAAACCTTCATATTGTTTTTACTGTTACCTGTGTCCCCACTGGGTTCAAGAGAAGAACAGGGCTCACCAGAACAGGAGGACACAGGATGGTCTTAAAGAACTCACACAAAAATTCCCCCCCTTCAGTTTGTTTTTTTAAACAATCTACTGAGTTGGCAAGAACCAGCTTCTTGGGAAGGCTATTCCACATCTTTACAGCTCTTACTCTAAAGAACCCCTTCTGGAAGCAGAGGTTAAAGAAACATTGTGACTTTGCCCACACAGAGCAATGTGAAAGTGTCCATGCAAACGGCTACCCTTGCACCCCTTATCTACACCTTTCCTGGAACTCCGCACCTTCCTTCACAACTGCCACTGAAATCAGTGGTATTGGCGACCTGGAGGAGCGGTGATGTAAATCCCTCACTCATGTGACAGTGTTCAGGCCTAGCGATAGGCTAGGAGAGCAGGCTTTGTATATGGGAAAAGTTATGTATTGCTTAAGCTGAGCTGTGACCAACAACAACATTTGGGGAAGAGCCCTGTAAAAATAATAAAGTATGTACCATGAGTGTAGGCTGAAGCGTTCTGTAAAACACTAAGGCGATGATTTATAAATCATCCCCTCAGCCATACCGTAGCCAAATGACGTTTTCACGTCATTCTCATCGAAAATCCTATGCTCCTCGGCTCCATCTAGTGGCAAGAATGCCGTATGAGTGGCATTCAGCTATCATATGACTAAGCAGATGATTTATAAATCATCCCCTAAAAGGTGCCCATACACCTTACGATTATCGTACGATAATCGTATGCGAACGGCTTTTCGTACGACAATCGCAAGGTGTATGGGGAGTGTGCAACCACCAGTACTGTACAATCGTACAACTTTTGTCTTTACTGCATGTTCGAAAACTTCAGTCGATCGTACAATTTTCGCAAGGTTGGTGGTGTTGCCGTACGTCAAAAGTCGTACGATTAACACTCCTGATGCTCAAATGAAAATATGTGCGGTCGATTACCGCAATTCATCCAGGTGTTTTTTTAATCTACTGCTGATTGAACCTTGCGATAATCGGGGCAGGATGGGGCCGCCGTACAACAATCGTACGACGGTTCGATCATTGGACGAAAAGTTTTGTCCGATGATCGCAAGGTGTATGGGCAGCTAATAGGAGAACTATGAGGTGAGTGCTTTTCACTCACCTCATAGTTCTAGCCGACCTGTGACAATGAGACTGTCACAGGTCGGCTCAGTAGATCGGGAGGTGAGCGAACACATACCGGCGTTCACTCACCTCTCGATCCTGTCACGGCTCTCTGCCGTGACAGGGGAGGAGCTGGATTCCCCCCGCTCCGATCCGCCAGCGCTGCCTGGCCGAACGGACGGGGGAGGGGGTGGGTACAGCTGGCTCTGCCTCTAGATAGGCAGAGCCAGCTGTCAGTCACGCAGCTGGGTGGATCCCGGCATAATTGTCGGGATCCGCTTCAGCTGTGGCGCCTCAGTATACCGCGAGCAGCAGCTCACGGGAATACTGCGGCGTCTCAGTATAGCTTGCGGTATACTGAGCCTAGGGTGATGGGAGGACGCTAGTTTGTGTCCTCTCGTTACCCTAAGGAGAACTATGTGGAAAAGCCCTAACCCCATAGTTCTCCTTTAAGGGTCACTATACAATCTCTGTACAATTAACTTTAGATTTAGTAAAACAAAGTATAATGAGGATCTAACTATACGATTTAAGCAATGTGTATCCAGTCAGACAGGCTCTTGCACTACATAATTCTTGGTTGCTCTAAAGGAGATTGTACAATCCGATTTCAATGTGGGGTGTTCATTACTTTTATTTAACCCACAGCGAACCGCTTCCTCAGCACAGCGGCCATTCAGCGAACACCTAGTATTTTTATGGTCGAATCAGAAAATGTCTAGTATTCATTGAGGAAAATACTAGGGGGGGGGGATTTATCAAAACTGGAGCAGACAAAATCTGGAGCAGCTCTGCATGGCAACCAATCAGCTTCTCTCTTCAGTTTGTTCAGTTAAGATTTGAAAATGAAAGAGAGAAGCTGATTAGTTGCTGTGCACAGCCGCTCCAGATTTTCTCTGCTCCAGTTTTGATCAATTCCCCCCTAGGTGTTTGCTGAATGGCTGCTGCGATGAGTGAGTGACCCCCTATGTTTTCACATCAGAGGGGAAGTCGCTCAGCACAGCGGGTGAGCAGGACCCGGAAGATCATTGTAAAGCTCTGTAGATTCACTGGCTACTTCTGTGTTTCACCGGGTCCCCGTGGCCCTCACAGGGATCATTTATATATACTTACATTGTACCAAGCTCGACCAGTGGAACTATACATATACATTTCTATAGCTAGAGTGCCCCGTGGCCCTAACAGGGATCATTTATATATACTTACATTGTACCAAGCTCGACCAGTGGAACTATACATATACATTTCTATAGCTGGAGTTTCACGTGGCACCACCAGGGATCATTTATATATACTTACATTGTGCCAAGCTGGACCAGTGGAACTATACATATACATTTCTATAGCTAGAGTGCCCCATGGCCCTAACAGGGATCATTTATATATACTTACATTGTGCCAAGCTGGACCAGCGGAAGTACACATATACATTTTATATATACTTACATTATGCCAAGCTGGACCAATGTAAGTATATATTCATTTCTATAGCTGGAGCTCAGCTTTAGGTTTATGCATCTCTTAATACAAGAGGTATATTGTTTGTTTTATAAGCTTCAGATTGTAATAATAGATTACCTGCGACAGCCAGCAAAACGTGTGAAGTGCCTGTAGGGTACAAAACAAACTGAAAACAAGGAAATTAGAGGAACTAAATATGTGACATTAGTAACATTGGTGGAAAATCTTATCTGATCAGGTGTATTCTGTAACATGTAAAGACACATAATCTACAGTCATATAGACGGCTGGTAGACATGTGCACTGCCAAAAAATTCGTTTAGTTTAGTTTCGTTTTAAATTCGGATATGTGTTATTTCGTTTTTCAGGATTCGGGTGTGAAAGTCAATTCGGATTCGGAATTCGGATTCGGACGAAATTCGGCAGCGTTAGTACGAACGTTCGGTTCGTTTCTGTTCTTATTCGTTTCTTATTCGTTTGCAGCAAAAGTGACATTTGAGGGGGAAAAAATGTTTTTCTCCTTCTCTAATGTCACTTTGCTCCAACGAACGAAACGAATAAGAAACGAAACGAACGTTCGTACTAACGCTACCGAATTTCGGAAATGGAAATTCGGATTCGTTTGCATTCGTTATGTCTGTAATTCGGAATTCGGATACATCCGAATGTCCGAATTTCCGAAAATTCGTCCGAATTTCGATTCGGAACGAAACGAATCGCACATGTCTAACGGCTGGTGTTCTGGTGGTTAAACAGCTTTATATTATTAGACTATTAGTATATAACAGTATTCAGGGGTAGGCAACCACGGCACCCCAGCTGTTAGAGCTACAAGCCCCATGAGACATTACAAGAGTGTGACAGCCACAGGCATGACTGCCAGAGGCAGAAGCATAATGGGATTTGTAGTTCCACCACAGCTGGCATGCAAAGGTTGCTTACCCCTGCAGTATATGAACAATTGTTAATGTTGCACTGTGCAGAAACAAATTCTTCTTTTTCCTCCTCCTCAGCACTTTACCTGACTCCCCCCCTTCGGTCAGGGAAGAGAGAAGGTAAGAAATTCATGAGAGATAACCAGTGAGTAAATACACCAGCTCTGCAGTTATGCCTACAAATGTTAGAGCAGTGATTGCTTGAGAGCCGGAGAATGAGAGCATGGAGGCAAACTTCCAAGGCATGCACGGGAAGAAACACCTGAAGAAGAATAAGAGAGATATATTAAACTTAAAAATGGATAAAAGAAACAAGAACAACATACATGGAGACAGAGTTGTAGAAACTGAGTTCCAGGAGGATTAATTACACAAAGCCAAAGGTAAGTGACAGCAGGAGGTATTGCTGAGGTCAAGGTTTTCAATGTCTTTGGGGGCAGAAGAGTAAAGGAAGTGCAGAACGTTTCAGAAGAAAGAAAAAGTCAAAGCAAGATTATTATTATTACTATTATTATTATTAGTATTATTATTATTACTATTTGTATTATTATTGTTATTATTATAATACAGTATTTATATAACAATTTGCACAGCCGTTTACAAAATAAAGAGAGACAGTACAGTTACAATACAATTCAATACAGTAAGTCCCTGTTAGTGAGAGCTTACAATCTAAAGCTGGCTATACACGTAGAGATTTCTTTTGTTCAGCTAAATAAAAGAAACCAAGCAGATTCATCTATCCATGCTAAACAACATGGATGAGGCAATCCCCCCTACACCAAGCTATTGTATTCTGACCGCCGGTGCCCACCGCTGTCAGAATACCCAAACATTGATTGGCGCTGACTGGAGGCAGTTGCTGAGTGTTCAGCCCAGCTGCTTCAGACAAAAGTCGCATGAATCGGCCAAAATTTGAATAGTGTATGGCCAGCTTAAATCCTGATTTGAGTTGAAAGAGTGGCACAGAGACACAGGTAATTGACAGTCAATGGCAACTCGGCGAGGGGGTTGTTGGTCAGCTTGTCTTCTGATAAGCTCTGGAGACTTGAGTCTTGGACGTACGTCCTGGTGAGAACAGAGGGAAGCAAGGTCATCCCTTCTGTTTGTATATTCTCTTTATTTATAAAAGGTTGACCAGGCTTGTGGGTGTGACGGGTGGGAGTGTCGATGCCCAGGTTTACCTGTGTAGCAGGGTATAGGACAGGTGTACACTCTGACAGGTGAGACCGTCCAGGTTGGAGTATATAGAACAGTGGAGCGTGTCCAGTATATTAGAGCTATGATCTTTGTTTATCAGAGCAAAGAAATGTCTGGAATTCTTTAGCTCCCCTCCCTAAATTTATCAAGAGAGGTGTCTCTGGCCCCACACACATTCCGGCTTTGGAACATTATCCCAGCACCACAGTTGTACCCTACCCTGCTTTTTTTTTCTGTTTTATGAGTTTTATGTAGACTTTGTTGTTTTACAGTTTACATAGGTTTATATGCCTTTTTACTTTTACTATTACACATTATTACTATTATTATTATGTAGACTTTGTTGTTTTATAGTTTACATAGGTTTATATGCCTTTTTACTTTTACTTTTACTATTACAAATTATTACTATTATTATTACTATTTACTATGAGGGCTTGTTCACACCATTTCCTGGTCCAGATCTGGAGCAGATCAGCAGACGCGGTGCTATGCGTGCAGAGCGTTTGTGACGCGTTTTACCGCGCTCCAGTTTTTGCCGCGTTCGTGCGTTTACGGTCTGTTTACGGACCGGAGAAAATGTGACATGCAGTATTTTTTCTGTCCGGACCGGACTGCGCTGGTGAGAACTGTAACCCATAAAACACATAGGGAGACATTGGGATGCATTTTGGGTGCAGGAGCGCACGGTTCTGGTCCGGACAGAATCCGGACCGCGTGTGAACAAGCCCTTAGGAAGTTTAACATGAATTAGTGAGCATATTACTTATCATGTTATAATAACTATCATACCCCTCTAAAATATTTTTATTATGAAACTGCTTTGTATATGGTGTCAGTGATATAGTCTTAATATTCTGTCATTTTATTGGCTGCATTTACAGGCTTATCTAATAGGGCAACACAAAGAATATGACGATGCATACGGTAGTAGTAACCAACCCGGCTTTACCTTCCATCAGTTTAGTGCAGTCCATACAATTAAAGGTGACTGCAGGACGGTTGCTGTTGGTTATTACATTTTGCACATTGCTGTTTAATGTGTATCTAAAGCTGACACTTTTTTATTTTGGATGGAGGAAATTGTTTATTGCTGTGTTCCCCTGTGGAGATTCCCCATTGCCTTGTCCAGCCATTGTCTCTGGAACACATAAGGAGGAAAAATCCAACATTTTGAGTTGTCTTTGGAGCAAGTATAAAGGGCAGGTTTTCCCGTAGGGACACTTGTTGCGGTCAAATCTGTAAAAGTTTCTTTTTTTTCACATTTTGGAGACATTGTTTGTTTCATTCGGCTCCCCTCTTGTTATATCTACAAGACAGGAAGACTATAAGACATAGATAGCAAAGAAAACCTGGTATGGATTTCAACTCTTTCCTTGCATAACAAAGAACAGGCAATCGAAAAATGAACCTTTGCAGTGCGGCTACTCACTTAACTGCTCGTTTTGGTCTAGGGGCTAAAATAAAGCAAATATACTCACCCGATCCTCAGTACTGCTTGGCTGCCAGGCTGGTTCCCACAGCGTCTTCTGCCCCCAGCCTAATGACCGTGATGTCATCATGTCTAATGCAGCTTTGCTGAGGAACATTACACCACCAGAGTGGAGGGTGATTTCAAGAAAAGGAAAGTTTTTGCTTTAGATATTCCTTAAAGTATTAAATAATCTAGTCTGTTGACTTGGTTTGGTAGGTTTTCTTTTTCCTGTAAAGAGCTGCGGACGATGCCCATGACATTATTTACTTCACTTCCTAATCTATTGATTTGTGAGAGATTATGACAGCAAGGTCAGCTTGACTTTTCCACTTAATCATGCAGCATGACACAAGTATCATTTGCTTTGTTTAGCTATAAATGAGGATTAAAATGTGAAACTAAAAGGAAGTTTTCAGTATTTCATTCAGGGTCGGTGCTGCCACTAGGCAAACTAGGCAACTGCCTA